CAAGTACTATGCACGGTCGTGGTGGGCTGGGGTGCTGCAGGGGCAGTGGTTTTGACATGACTTGATATGCCTAGGCTGCGTGGCTTCGGACAAGCTAGCTGTGGCTTGTGCTAAAGCCCACAGTGGCACCCTGCGAGGCGCCGAGAAGCGTTTGCAGGGGGGGCCATTGCCTTCACAAGCCTAGAAAAGAAGAGGCTGGCCTCGGCTGCTAGCACCGTAAGTGGCAGCCCAGTCATGCCTAGGCTGCATGGCTTCGGACAGGCTAGCTGTGGCCTGTGCTAAAGCCCACAGGTTGCACCCTGCGAGGCGCCGAGAAGCGCTTCGGAAGCCTAGAAAAGAAGAGGCTGGCCTCGGCTGCTAGCACCGTAAGTGGCAGCCCAGGTCATGCCTAGGCTGCATGGCTTCGGACAAGCTAGCTGTGGCCTGTGCTAAAGCCCACAGGTTGCGCCGAGAAGCGTTTGTAGGGGGGCCGTTGCCTTCGGAAGCCTAGAAAAGAAGAGGCTGGCCTCGGCTGCTGAGAAGCGTTTGTAGGGGGGCCGTTGCCCTCGGAAGCCTAGAAAAGAAGAGGCTGGCCTCGGCTGCTAGCACCGTAAGTGGCAGCCCAGGTCATGCCTAGGCTGCATGGCTTCGGACAAGCTAGCTGTGGCCTGTGCTAAAGCCCACAGGTTGGACCCTGCAAGGCGCCGAGAAGCGTTTGTAGGGGGGCCGTTGCCTTCAGAAGCCTAGAAAAGAAGAGGCTGGCCTCGGCTGCTAGCGCCGTAAGTGGCAGCCCAGGTCATGCCTAGGCTGCATGGCTTCGGACAGGCTAGCTGTAGCCTGTGCTAAAGCCCACAAAGGTGGAGATGCCAATGCCAAGGTTGCACCCTGCGGTGTCCCAGGCGCCTCCCGCCTAGGCTGCGGCTAGGCTGGGGTCGGCGGATATATATGTATAATTAGAGAAAAATATGATACTTGGCGCTATGCGGATCCCAATAAAAGGACTCCGCGGAGTCGAAGTCCGTTGCCCCTCGACTCCTCGAGGTCTCGTCGGCTCCTCGACGACTGGCGACGGGCCGTGGAGATGTGGGAGGTGCTGCATCTTGTGGCGCTTGCCGCACATTAACAAAAAGGAAATTCGAAGGGAAGAAGGGAAGACTCGGGAAGACTCCTGCGACAATGAAATACCTACCATTAATTGTTTGCCATTGTTTTATTGTTCAGACAGTGTTACTCCAGATGGTGTAGGAAGGCATCTTTGAACTTCTTGCATTCTTCATCCTGATAGGCGACGAGATGGCAGTGACGGAGACCGAATTCCACGTCCGCTGGTCAGAATATCAATGGCACAAACCGCTCTTTTTGTGGCAGCAAAATATCCACGCAAGGTGGAGCAAAAAAAGACTTGACATTTCTTGACACTCCAAGACTCACATTCCTTCAGGCATGGGTCAAGTGGAAGACACCAAGGCCAAGGCCGAAGTCTCTCTCCAGCAGATCTTTGAGTCCTTGGACGCTGGGAACCAAGCGGGGGCGAAGACGCGGGAAGGGGCCCATCAGCAGCAAAGCCATTATGTATCTATTTTGTTTGCTTGTCTATTTTATCCGATCTTATCATATAATATCTTATCTTATTTGATCCAATCTGATTTGATCTTATCTCATCTCATCTCTGTTTGTCTTATATTGTCTTATCTTATTTTATCTTACCTTATCTATCTATGTATGTACCTACCTACCTACCTACCTACCGACCCACCCACCCACCCACCCATCCACCCACCCAGCCATCCATCCATCCATCCATCCATCCATCCATCCATCCCTCCATTTTGGGGGAGGGTAGGCAGCGTAGCCAACAAGATATGAGTATAAGTAGCTAATTAGCTTGACCTATAGTACATGCAAGCTACTATTCTTGAATACAGAACCTTCACGTGATTGATCTGGTTCCTATTTTCATTGGAAACTTACTTAACAACAGTGATCATCAATACATGTTTGTTGCAGGCCAGTAACTTGGACTGTGTCGACGATTTGGGCTACGAGGCGGGACAATGAGAGTGATTTTGAATCAAAAGCGCGGGCGTGCAACGAGTGCGTTGATCCGGTACATCATGGTGGCGACAGCTGCCTGCAATGCATCCTGCCTTGGCCTTCCAAAAACAGCGTAGCTGGCGCAGCTCACCTGTCGTGCGGGCAATTTCAGCTCACATGGGTCAATTTTCAGCAGACAATCTCTGCACTCAGGATGGCGTCCTGACTGTCAAGCTGGAAGGGGGCAGAACATTTGTGACTTGGCCCGTTTCTTCCGAAGGAGTTGACGGCTTTGTTTGCCAGCCAGTTGCTGGGACAGTCTAGTTCCCTGGTGTCAAAAGACAGATTTTTGATCGGTCATCTCAGGTGATCAACAAGCACTATGTCACTCGTCAGGTGCGAAAAGATATATCCTGGTGCAGCAGGAACTACCTCCCCACGGGGCCATTATTGCCAAATAATTCAATGAACTTCAGCCCCTTTCAAGAGTTGATCCTGCTGGAACTGTTCTTGGATCCCAACAGTTATCCTCAATGCCTTTTTTGTAAGAAAAAGGGCAGCCTTTTCTGAACGGTTGCATGAATGAATCTGTTCTTTTCAGCACTTCAGATTTGGTACGCCTCGCCGGTCTCTGGCGCGCTGTATTTCAACCTCCAGGCAGGTCATTCTTCCAATGCAGAGAGTTTCAGCAAGCGCAGTCGGCCAAGGCAGATCAGACCTGGCGAACCAAAGATGCGATGGAGCTGGGCAAGTGCTTTTTGCAGGCGAGAGCACTTGCAGCAAAGCAGTTTACTTGTCAACTTAGCTGCTGCCAGAGTAGTTTGTCCGTCTGGAGTTTGCATTCAAAGGTTCAAGCTTCATTGATGTTTTGTGGTGGGGCTAAGTCTAAGTAGGTTGACGAATAGGATCCAGAAAGAGGGGGTACCCATTGCCAGTAGCTTTTGCTGTTAAACAATAGTTTGCCAGCTCCCCTGTGCAGGACTTGATCCAGGTTTGCCCTGAAGCGCAGGAACTGGACCCTGCAAAGTTTTATGCCTGAGCAGATTCGCATTTGGCCCAAGAAAGCCAGCGCAGCTTGTTGCTGGACAATCGACCCACAATTGTTTGCATTTATGGTCACAAACCAGCAGAAGAGTACGAGTATACCATATTGCCAGCGGCTGCACTAAGCCGGGCCGCATTGCTCTGAAAATGCACAAAGGGCGATGCATCTGAAAGGAAGACGAAGGCGACTGTATCTGAGTTCTATCTTATATAACACATATTTTGGCAGATGACGAACGTCTACAAAAAACGGGCAGTCTCAAAGGCCTTGAACGCTGAGAATGAGGAGGACACCGTCGAGCTCTCACACAACCCCAAGGACGTGATTTGCAAAGGGAGCAACTTAAGCGTGAGACAGCGGACAACCTGCAGGGGTTGGATGTGATTCTAGATGAGTTTGCTTACAGCAGTCAAGTGGACTGGGATCTCCAATCTTGATCCAGGACCCCTTGGTGGGCTACGCCTTCAAAATCCAGGCAAAAAAAAAACATGTGGAGCGGAAGCAAACGCACGAGACACGAGACACGAGACACGAGACGCACGAATGTCACAATGCCGGAACACCCTTCTCGGCATGACTTCGGACAATTCATAGAAAGCATTCTACAAAGTACCCTTTACAACTCCATTCATTCCACAGACTGATGTTTGAATTGATCACACTCCTGTGTTTTTGTTTGCCCCACCGCGCTGCAGATATCCCTTTTTGAGCAAAGAAGTGGATGTTGAGCGATATTTCCTGTCCCGGGACCTGTGTGAGAAAGAGCCTAAAACACCTGAAGACATGGGATTCAACGTAATGTTCTTGTACATAGACAGTGTTTATGTGGGTCTAGTATAGGGCACAGTTTGACTGTTCTACCCCAAAGTGTTGCTTGGCAAACCAAGTATTTCATATCCCTGGATACTGGAATGTTGCAACCACAATACTGTCCTGAGTCCAGAAAGAACGCTGAGCACAAGATTAGCCCTTTCATCATTGTATCCGCATGCTCGCACTGGTCTCAAGTGACAAGCAAGGGTCAAGGCTATGGTTGCTCGTTAAAAGCGAGGACCATCCACTAGCCGGGCAAGTGACCTACATGCGGGTGATTGACTTAGCTCCTCTTGCGGTTTTGCAGAGTTGTGTGCCACTCTGGCCTCTATGCGTGTCAAACATTTTGCTTTGTATGCCAAATCGCAAAAAGATCTGGTTGCCCAGTAATCAGCTGCACAAGATCAGCCTGCTGGCATTGCTGTTTCCGTTGCATCGTGTATTGGCAAGGTATACCAGGGCAAAATTGGAAAAGGCGATTCCATCGCATCTTGGCAATCATTCTGTCCGACTTATGGCTTTGAGGCTATCAAAGGATTAGATAGATTCGTTCTACTTAAACCACCAATCCAAGCAGTTCTTCAGGTGAATATGATGAATGACAAGAGGACCATCGTGGCAAGGGCACATGAATGTGGAACGTTGTGGAACTTGATGTGAGTCTACAAGAAAGTGAGAGAGACATGAAGAACCGAAAGAACAACAAGAAGAACCGGTCTGAAAAAAGGGACGTCCGAACCGATTCAGAGTGTCCTTCACAAGAAAGGGAGGAAAAGCCACGGTCTCTAGAGACCAGGACGGTCGGAAGAACCGAAAGAACGGTCGGAAAAAGAACGGTCGGTAGTTACAATTCTAATTAAATTCTTATTGTTACTAGTAGTAAGGCACTTGTTTCTAATAGCTTCTTGTTACTACTAGTAAGGCACTTGTTACTAGTAGCGATGCACTTGTTACTAGTAGCTTCCTACCCCCCAACCGAAAGAATGGTCGGTTAAAGACTGAAAGGCTTGAGCTGGTCGTTCTTCGGGCTGGTCGGCGCCTGGCCGCTTTCTGCTCGCAAATGGTCTGGCAATGCCCACCAAACTCGCATTTTGCTTGTGCCTAACAGCTGGATTTCCCTGTTCCAGAATAACAGATTGATGATTGATGTGACAATTCTCGAGCAAGCTTTGCAGGATAGCTGTCAAGAGACTTGTACGCATGCACTCCAACGAAATCAAGGACGTGAACGAGGCCAAGGAAGGTCCTCATTCCATTGACTGCGGCAACCACATCTGAATATCTCACAACAGTGTGATTCATAATGTGAAGAAGAAGACTTTCACTGCTGCACCAATGCAGCTGCCTCCATTCATTGTTGTTGTGGCAATTGTGTAGCATTTCAACTCTCAAACTGTATACTCAGCTGCCTTACTTTGC